AATTTAATCTACCTATTATATTACAAAGATTTTGCTCACTGAATTTAATTTTTTTTTTTAACCACAGTGGGTCAATATTGTTATTTAGATTAGCTGATTTTGGTTACGAGTGTTTTTATGCTTTAAAAACTAAAGCTGCTCAGTTAACTTGCTGCTAGCCCTTCAATGAGTCGCAAGATTGATTGTGTTTCAGCTGACAAACTAATCAAGGAACAGGTGACCCTTTTTTTTTATGCTGAGGAAAACCATTCTCAGTGTGTTCTGCCTTTAGCTCCATCTGGACATGATTGGGTCATGTTTGTGCAGACTGTTAATCTAGTTTTTATCACAACATTCGGTCTCTCACTGAAGTTAAAATACTGATATGCAATCAGACTACAGCTTGTTAGGGTGAACTTTGACACAGACTGATTGCTGAAAGCGCGTCGATGGTCACCTTCAAGGCTGCAGGCTCTGCAGCTTCTCTAACAACACGCACCCACAAAAGAAGCATCAACAACCGGTGTTGTTACAAACACACACATAGCAGAAACATGATTTTCATACTAGACTGAAAGGGAGAGGTTTAATTACCACCATAGGGAGGTCTAAAGTCTAAACCACTGATTTCCCACCCAAACTTTTTTATAACCAATTATTTTTATTTTGTTTCACTTCCTTTGTTGTTTAAAACCTGTATGCACCAAATGATCTGGGATATATTGCCCTGCTAATATTAGGAGTGGGTTGAACTGAGAGAGTCAAATATCAATCTTTAATAAATTCTCTCTTTTGTTCTTGTATTAACAAACACAGTTTTCTGTTCTGTTTTTTATTATGGTAAACTATCTTCTAATAAGATACATGCACACTTTTAGTGGTCTGGCTGTTGACTCCCTGTTTGAGATTTCTGCCATATTCAATTAAATTCAATTTGAATTCAGATTATTTATAATATATATTAACACCAATTCACAACACGTCACCTCAAGGCAGTTTACAATTTCACCAGATAATACAGTCAAATTGATTCAAAGTTTTCTATCTAAGGAAAACCAGTTGAATGCATCGACTCATTGGCTCAAAGGCAATCCCTCACACTAAGCATGCTTGTAGCGACAGTAGAGAGGAAAAACTCCCTTTTAACAGGAAGAAACCTCCAGCAGAACCAGACTCAGTGTGAGCGGCCATCTGCTGAGGCTGACTGGGGTTCAAGGAGACAGAAGCTAAAATACAGAAAGAATCAAATTAGTTTAGGATTGTTCTTTTACCTAATGAAGTTGTCATTATTTTGTTATTGACTGTGGGTGAGGAGAAACATGTTCTCTTACTGATTTGCTTCCTGAACCCCTCAGGTTTCCTGCACAGATGACATTTGTTACTAAGAAGCTAAATAACCAATACAGCTGTTCAACATTTGCCTTGTAAAAAAAAATAAAAAATGTTTTTGTAAAGAAACAAGACTTGTCAATGATTTACCTGTTAGATTTCCAGGTAATAAATTTATAGATCTCATCACTACCCATATATGATTCTTCCTCTTTTTCAGGGGAAATTATTCAAAAAGCAATTTTTGCTTCAGAATTATTTGATATAAATATTTTTATATGTACATTGATTGATGTGATGTGTTTGGAGTACAATCTATTTTTATAGTAAGGTTGGTATACCTCATGTTATACAGTAAAAAAAAAAAACTTTGATTAATTTCAGTATAGAAAAGTTTAGCAGTGAAAGAGCTTTTTCTATATATAAACAGCCTACTCCCAAGTGACCTCCAACAAATATGACATGTAGTATTTCAGGGTTGTAATCCACTGAGCTGAATCCTGCAGGTCAAGGTTAAGGTTATTTATAGAGCAGCAAGTTAGAAAGAGGACAAATAAAAAATCAGAGCAATTTGAGGTTTCTTCCTAGTGAAGATTTCTCTCATGTACAGAATTTACAGCATTCCTTCTCCTAATGTAGAAGGCAGTCTTAAATAAACATTTTGTCACTTCAAGTACCATGACTCAGCAGAACATGAGCAAATTTCAAGTATATTATAAAAACAAGTCGTTACTTTCGATCCCTGCAGTTTATGTGATTAATTTGCTGATTTAAACTCAGCTGAAAGGTGACTCATATGAAAGATGGAATTCTATAAAGGGGACATAATTGATCATGACTTTTTGGTCTTGAAAAATAGATTCCTAAATAAAGCTGCTCCTCAAATGTCATAAAATGCTCAGGGAAGGAACTCACTGAGATAAATACCCAATCAGAGACAACTTAAGGTCAATAAAAAGTGCATGAGGCTGTGCAGAACTATTTTTTCCTGTAAAAAAATGACAAACATGGTGCTTAGATTATGTTTCCCTCTTTATGCAGCCTTATTCAATGCAGAATTGCAGAAATTGTTTTTATTTTAAGCAGTGTGCTATACTTGCATCATACTTTTCCACTTTTATTGCTAGAGTTTGCATCAGTTTGTATATAAGTGTGTGTAAAGAAATTTAGAGTAAATAAAGAACTCTTAGACCTCTGTTTATATTTTAATATATTTAAAGCAAATATAAATTTCGAATGTTTCAAGAATGGTACTCTTGAACGATGCTTTGCTTCAATCTGTCATGTTACAGCCACATACTTCAGTGTTTTATTAGGATTTTATGGGAGAAAGAAAAACATAGAAGTTAATGGTTATAAGGTGGAATGAAAATGTGATGTGCAGAAATCCCCCTTGACTCTGATACTCCTAAATAAAACACAGTTTAACCACAAATGCCTTCAGAAGACACCTAAACAGAGTCTATTTGTGTGTCCAACTCTCATTAATTTAAGTAGAGCTGTTCTGTTAAGACCTATCAGTTTTTTTGAGAGCATTATTGAGTAATCAGCCACATGAAGCCCAAGAAACAATCCAGACGGATCAGGAGAATATTTCTGTGGAGTCCCAAAGGTAGAAAAATGCAAAGTATTTTCACAATACCTTGCAATCCCTTATTTGACGCAGGGAGGAGTGTGACACACTTGAAAACCTACCAAAAACATGACCATCCAAGGGGACGAAGGAGAGAATTCAAGAGAAGAGAGGCTACCACTTATTGTGCGCTACACGTATCTGGACTTTGCAATAAAAAAAACATAGTTGAAAAGGTCTGGGGGTAAAAGATATATATTTATATAAGAAATGGATGGATGAGGTAAAAAAAATTAACTTTTTGACCTATGCTACACGACCATCATGAAATTTTGTGGCAGCCTTATGCTGAGGGGATTCTTCTATTGAGCAGGGGCAGAAAAGCTGACCACAGGCGATTTGAAAATGGATGGAACTAAGCAAAATTCTATTTAGTTTATTTATATAGCACCAATTTACAACACAAATAATCTCTAGGCACTTTACAGAGACAATACAATCAGATTGGTTAAAAGTTTCTATTAAGGTAAGCGTGTTGTTTGCATTGACTCACTGATTTGCAAGACAGGCTCATCCTAAGCTTACATTAATGATTTTTGCTTGCATTGACTCTTCAGCAATCCCTCACACCTAGCATGCAAGGAGCAAAAGTGGAGAGGAAAACTCCTTTTTAACAGACAGAAACAGCAGAACCAGACTCAGTGTGAGCGGCCATTTGCTGAGGCCAACTGGGGTTCCAGGAGCCAGAAGACATACAGAAAGAAGCAGAGATACAAAAAGCAACTGTTAACAAGCTCCACACGCGGCCCAGTCCAGGAAAAGCCACTTCCAGGGAGATGAGCTAAGAGTCAGCTCTCATGTCAGAGAAGGAAAGAGAGCAAATTAAATCACTAACAGTAAAAGAAACATGACAACACTGAAGAAAAAAAAAAAAAACAGGCCAAACTCCAATATCTACAAAGCTGTTGATGGCAGCAGCACAGCTTATATTTTTCTCCATGGTGGTGTCACAGTAAAACAGGAACACACCAGATGAAGCTACTATGAAAAGTATTGGGTGGAGCTAACAAATATTACAGAATAAGGCAGTAGAGATAAAATAAATCAGACTAATGAAAAGTGGTCCCTTTGTCCTCCAACAGCCCGAACTAATAAAAGCATATCTATAGAAAATAGGTCATGATAACCTATTTTGGATAAAATATGAGAAAGATTCAGGGAAAACCGTCAGCACAGAGACACTCTCTTAGAAAATCTGTGAAAGACTTCAAAATAAGGTTCACCTTTCAAACAACTATGCTAAAATACAACTATATATCCTGTAAAATGGTTTAGATCATATGCAATGGTGCAAGACATAACCCAAAAACATGTAGCTGCAGTTGCATTGGAAGGTGATCCTGCAAAATATTGAGGAATGGAAGTTGGATATAGGTTCAGCACAAAATAAGAGAACTGTATATGTAGAAGTGTTGAAAACAATTATAATTTCTCTCCACTTAACAGGTATTCAATATTTTATCATATACATTTAAAGCAACGCATAACCAAACACAAAATGGCAAAACAATGGCAGCCCACTGCTCCCCAAGAGGAAAGTAATTTTCCTCTGGGATTATTAAAGTATAAAAAAAAAAAAAAAAAAAAAAAAAAAAAAAAAAAAAGAATATCTTAGGAAATCTTTGTGAAAGCAGATTGGGATAAATGAAGGCAACATCCTCTTACTGTCACAGACCCCTTGCCAATCCCTGTACTGGACCACAGTGTGGATGTGTCCTTAGGAACTAAAAGTATCAGACTAACAGACCCTGTCCAGTTTTCCTCAGGTTCAAAGAAATGATTGCTGCCCTTCTTCCACTTTTCCAGAATGTCAGCTTCACACTGTGAAGGACCTTTCATCTTGTTCAAAGTTGTTAGTGGAATACCGCTGTACATCAGGGCAGAGCTCAGAAGAGAAAACCCTTTAATAAACTTATAGGGCAGAGATTGTGTGCAGCGTGCACTTTCTGTGTCCGACTGCTCTGTGTTTCTGTGTAATTCAGTGTGTAGTTATCCGGCGAAGCTGTCAATTGTAAAGTAAATGCACCGTTACTTAATCCCTCCCTCTCCTCCTGTGCAGGTGTCTGACAGGTGTGACTATGTTTTTGTGAACGGCAAGGAGATGAAGGGCAAGATGAAGATGATGGTGAATTTCACTTACGGATACCTCAGCGCTCAGCTGGAGCTCTGTGTGTGGATCCCTCGTCTCCCCCTCCAGATTGAGGTGTCAGATACGGAGCTGAGCCAGATCAAAGGGTGGAAGGTGTCCATCGCAGGCACAGGTCAAAGGTAAGACAGCACATCAACCTGTCTGCTGGATCCACCGCTGTATCTATGAGCTCAATCCTGAAAAGGATAAACCTACACTCTATTCATCTTGTGTTGCCTAGATTTCATCACTTTGATTTACAAAAATTACATAGAAATTAGTTTTACAGTTGATATAATAATAGGACAAATTGGTCATGCAGGTATAAACACATATCTGTGTTAATCACTGAAACATGATTAAAACCATAGACTTCATGCAGACTCATTTTAAATGACCTGTAATCAAACCATATGAATTAGATTTTTTTTTTAAAGGATAGACCTGTTACTAAATACCTTTTTTAGATTAATTGATTAATCTAAATAACTAATTTTATCCACACAAAATTGTCTATTTTATTACATACGTTTTTATTACTACATACATTAGAACAGTGCAGTTAATTGTATTTGCAAAATAAAACAGTAGACGTCTCACTGTAGCTGTTTAGGTGGCAGTAATGCGTTTAATGTGATTTCTCCTACACAAAGAAAAGAGGAGTGAGTTGCAAATAGCACGCAGACAAATGCATACAAGTAGAAGAGAGCACTTTTTCAAACTTTTTTCACAGTCCTGCACCAATAGATGCTTGTAAAGCAAGCTTTCAGGGTCATGACAAAAATGTAAATGCTAGACTGAAACATCTACATGCTTATGGTTTGTTCAAAGTAAAATCGAAAATAAAATTGCTGTTCTGGTTGAAAATAATTGCAATTTTTATTTTTGGCATAATTATTCAGTCCACATACTGTATTGTAAAACATGCATGACACACAATCTATGCAAAATTATATACTTATATACTTAAGTGCATTACTGTATTACTGCATTTTCAGATTTTTTGTATGTTTTATAACGAAGAAAATTATAATTCATTTTCAATTTCCATTATATGAAAGTTCTTTAATTTGTTGCCAGTCCCTAAACAAACCAGGGTTTAAGCTGCTATCAGCAGTTCTCCCTGGTGACCTCACATGCAGAGCTAAGCCAGTTGCAAAAGTTAGATGCAGTAACCCCTTTTTTAACCCGAGGAGGTCACAAAAACACATGGTTTTGGCCACAGAAGCAGGATTTTAACATGTGAAGAAATTATACTATAGGACACGTTTTTATACAGTTGCAGCAAAAATGTGGATTTAGGGGGTGAGTAGTCGCTTTAAACAAGAGTCATCAACATAAATATATAACCTATAATGCCTGAGTTGAAACATAGTCAGTTATGAATAGACTGAATTGGAGTTGCATTGAAATAAGTTGAAATATAACATAAATCCATAGATAAATGTACTGACTAGATATATTGATGTTGAAGGATTACTATAATCATTGATTAAGCTGTGAAGTCACATCTGCTCCATTAAATAGTAACATCAGCTAATATTAGGTGTTTAATTAGCGAGTCACATAAGGCTCCGACTTTGCTCCACCAAACCCTCGCAAATTTAGAAATGGTGCTGCTCACATTAGTATTATTTGAAAGGGTCTCTGCATTACTTACTCACATTAAACCAACTGGTATGGATTTTCACATAGTTTGTTTTTTTATTTATTTTTTTCATACTCTTTACAGCACTTTATCTGTAGACTCTTGCTTTTATTTCTTTGTAAGTCTGGGTAACTTTTGCCAACATCAGATGTAATTTTTACTCCAATGTCCCCATCAGACAGATCTAAACGGAGAAAAAATTGCCAAAGTGTTCCGTTCTCATGATGCATTTTGTAACTACCTAACTGTAGTTTTGAAATAGGGTTACCTTGACACGAATGATATCATAAATGTCTTTTATTTGCGGGAATATTTCTGTCAGACAAATTTGCCTACAGTATCTACTCATAAAACAAGCAGCTGCACAGAAAGAGGTAGGGGAAAAAGCAGCTCTCCGTTACTCTATATGGTCCATGAAGCTGGAAACAACCTGTGTCGATGCGGTCCTTTCTCTGCAGTTGTTGCCACACAAATATAAATTACCACTGAAGATACTAAAGATTTGTTTTATTGTAAGAATTGCAGCTAGTAGCATATTCTGTGACGTTCTCTGGTGCTATTGGAGGCTATTGGAGACTTGTTATTCTTCTCCATGAGTAATGGGTACAGCAATGGCCGCATCATTCCCCGCAGCTTCAGTCACAGCAGGAGATGTTCACATCTCCTTCGTGTGCCAAGCTGCTACTGGCTGACTTGTTGTTATTGCAGGATCCAAAGCAAACTATGACATCAAAAACCAAACCAGGCTTTAAAGAACTCGTAACTCCACATCTCCTTTTGGCAACTTTGGGCATTTTCATGTTTGAGATTTTGACAACTAAAAAAACAAGGCTTAACAGAAGAAAGAAATTCGCAATACCAGACATAATTTGGGCTGTTTTGTTGTCACCTTTTATCTGATATTCCTCTCTTTAAATTAGCTGATTACGTCATCTTGTGAGAGCCAGTGGCAACTTTTCTCACTGAGAAGTTGGAATCTCATTAAGCGTAGCCTGTTTTACCGTAGGAATTATATGATGATAAATGGAAGGTACTGGTACATCTTGATTAGGTCTACATCCCCCTACTTAGTCTGAATTAATAATCAAGGCTTAACATTGTTATTTGGTTTAGACACACGCATGCCCCTCTCTATTAATAACTCAACTTTGGATATTATCATCCCACTGTATGGCCCCAAACTGATGGCTAGATGGAGCAGGGACCCCGTAATTTTATATATATTGTATTAAAATTGTGCTATATCAAACTGGTCCTATAGTCACTCTGTTGCATATGGAGTAATGTAACAAAAGTAACTTTGCCCTGGGATTGTTAGAGTATTTCTGATTCTGATTCCTGGTTGATGGGACAGGTGTTGTGAATGAAACTATGCCCAGCTTGAAAGAGCTCCTGTGTGTCGCTCAACGTGTGCAGTGATGACTGAAAGACATCTTCTGCAGCCATTTATCTGTTTACTACAGTGTGTTGAATTCATGTTAATGTGGATTTAAAGACATTTCAATTAGTGGAAAAACTTGCAGGAGGGAATATAAAAAAAAGTCTAATCAACCAAAACTTTTGCGAACCCCATGCAGTACATCCTGGGGGTCGTGGACAACCTGTTGAAGACCTCCAAGTTTATTTATGTGTAACTTGAACATAATTTTACAAGTTCTTCATCTATTGTTAAAAAAATGTTGATGGACATGTCGCTCATATCGAAAAACCCCTCCCGAACAGAAATCACTTATCCTGCCAACAGAGATGTTTTTAAACACCACATTAAATCTGTGTGACTGAAACATGTGGAATTCACTCAAAGTAAAGATTTAAAACACAGTTTTTAAGAAGGTAGGCTGTAAATAAAGTGGATAAAAAATATAAAGTATGTAGATAGAAAGAGAAAGGTTTTGGACATGGCCAAGCGGCTGTTGTCATCGATAAGGTGAAGATTATCAGCAATAAGAAACCTACTACAAGGTAGAGGAGGTGCAGTCTAAAGCCATTCTATGGAACTAATAACCGCTAATAACGTCCATTTAATGGTGTAGTATCTAAGTGGAGGCGGGGCCTTTAATAAGAATGCAACCTTACACTCCCAAGTACTAAGCAACCTTTATATGTAAAAGATTGCGAGAAAATCAATGCAGCATTAAATGTAAGGATACAAGCTACAGAACATGTAAATAATAGGGGTGGAACGGTTCACAAAATCCACGGTTTGGTTCGGTTCACGGTTTCGTGGTCACGGTTTTCGGTTCGGTTCGGTATATGTTGATTGTTACACCGAAATCCCATAAAAGTTTAGGAAATAAATGAAAAAAATCCAAAAAAATTTATGAATTGTAAGTATTTTTAATGATCCACGGAAACCCTGGATCATTTCCGCATGTTTTGCTGCTTTGAATTTAATCATCTGGCGCATGGCCTCTATGATCTACAAGGAACTCAGAGCGGACGGGAGCCACAGTGGAGGCTGTAGGCTTTGCTTTGTGCAGGCGGTCTGGAGCGAAGCGGGGCGGAGCGCTGACAGAGTATGTGGGATTTCGGGGTTAGCATGACATGTTGGTCATGTTGCTGTTAGCATAAACAACACGTGTTGCACAATGCTTGCACACTGTTGCACTTTTATCCACAACTTTCTTTCCGCCGTCATCGTAGGTCACTCTAAATGCAAAGCGGTCCCATACAGCAGACCTATAAAGTGCTGCTGGTGCGTCTTCCCACTCCTGTTCTTTCCCACTCGCCATACCCACACAATTCTCCACAACAACTGTTTTTTTTCTGCTACACCCGGCTAGGCGGCTTCGCTTCTTCTTCTTCTTGTTTACTACTGGTGGTTGGCTTTGGTCGCAGTACCGCCACCTTCTGTCTGGAGTGTACACGCTTCGCCTATGAGAAAAAGGAGAAGCGCATAAACCGAATTCAACACACGCGAACCGAACCGAGACAGTCGAACCGAACCGTTCGTACGGTTTTCATAAACTGTTCCATCCCTAGTAAATAGTTAAAGATATTAGTTATTAAAAGAAGTTGTGACTAGTGACCCTCTAACTAATCGGTGTTCAATAATCCTCTGAAGTGTTTTTAGTGCAACTTGTTTGGAACCACAAGCAGGTAGGCTCTAAAAAAAGTAAGAGATCCATGTAATGGTTACCAATAAAAGCATAGAAAAGTTTAATTGATCAGTTGTTAAACTTTCTAAGTTGGGACTAGTGGAAAAGGGGAATTATTGTGGACAACATGTCTTCACATGCTTTACAGTGCCCAAACAGAGGAGTAAAAGTCAAAACTCCTTGGTAGCATTAACTCCAGAGAAATAAAGATTTCTTCTCCTTGAAAAATACATTTTATCTTCTGTAAAACTTTCTTGTGAGTGTTCTATTGCAGAAATGTCAGATACAATAAGTATGTTTATCAGTCTAACAGGCAACAAGATGGCATTTGGAATAAAACAAAAGGGTCTTAATATTTGTTTAACCAAAAAAAAATAACTTTATCAACATAAAT